CCCCAAAACCCCAAAACCCCAAAACCCCAAAACCCCTTAAGTTAAGATTAGAATCTATTTAAAAGTTAAAAAGTAAATTGAAAATGGAAGAAACAGAAAACCAAATTAGCGATGAGCAAAGGAAAAAAATAATGAATTATCTGCAGCAGCTTTACATATCTCTAAAGGATCTCATCGAAGAGACTAGAAATCAGATAAAGGAAAATGAAGATGATTTTGATCACATTACAATTGCTCTGTAATAATTTAAAGATTGCTCTACTATTGCACTTTAAGATTTATCAATGAAAAATTTCGGAGAAAATATCAAATTAGAAGACAATGTATTTGAATGGTCGAAACAGTTCAAGCAAGACATAGAAGTATACACTATATTACAATCGAATGTTTAATTGCTGACTGACTGGAAGACAGAGATGAAAATTTATATTGCAAAAAGCCCATTAATTAAGAATTCCTTATGAAATAAAGTTTATATAAATCTATCTAATCATTTTAGCCACCTAAAAATATTTAAGTGAGTTAACTATCATATTTAATGATTAATCTTGTTTTATCTTTCAGAATAATTTCTCTTTGTAATACTATGTAATCTTCTTTGATCCCAAGAAGTCCTAGTTGTCAATAAAGAAAAATCTGATTGATTGTTCTTTTATCGTCATTACAAAAGTTTCCCAATCCAGCTGCTCATTTTATTCCTCAGTGAATTCTAAGGGATGAGTTTGGAACTATTCCCACTATATCTTGATTTCATTTTCAAAATAACTTTTAAGTGAGAGTAATATCTTATGAATAAACTCTGAAAGTTCATCATTCATAAATTTGCTAACTGCATCTTGATCTTTAATAGTAAGGCCATTTTAAGCTGCTGTTTCAGTAAATATATGCTAGATGGACACCATATTGTTTTGATACGCTGCTTTATGAGTTGCTTCTCTCTGTTATTGTTACTATATTTCAAATTAAGGTTGCTAGCTTTGTTGCAACTATTAAGCCTTCCTCAAGCTGAACTTCATTTTTAAGTATTGCTTCAAAATTTCCTTGAATTTTAACTCATACTTTTTGGCCTCTCCTAAAGCTTCAAAAGTTTATGATTGATTTAAAGATCTATTATAATCCTCATCTAATTAGTTTTCTAAAGGATGATTTTCATTCTATGGTATTTGATAATAAGCCTGAGGTTGTTGTTGAAATTAGTTATTAATTTGAGTGTTTTAAATCTATATACTATTATTTGATTTTGATGAAGATTGTTGTTAAATTTCTTGAGGTTAAGGCGGATATTGTTACGATTACACTTATTATAGCTCCAACTACTATTAAATTTCATTATTTTATTTAATTTAGCCATTTGGTTATGCTTTATCAGTATTGTTTCTCTTTCTCTTTGATGTAGGATTTGATTTTTCTCCTTTTAATCCCTTTTAATTTGATTGTGAAAGTTAATTTGGATCCAGAAGTATTTAGATAGGTTAGTTTTACTTAATAGTGATAGGCTACGAAAGAGATTATTCTTAGTCTTATTTCAGAGCAGACTATGAGATTGAAAATGATGTAGAGTTTATGCAGATTTTTTGAGATTCACTTTATTACTCCATTAGTAAAGATTGAGGCTAGCTATAATTTTAAACTTCAATTTATTGTTAAGGAGATTCTTAATAACTTAATGTTGCTGGAGCCTTGGACTTTTACTGCCTATCAACTTGAACTTCGAAAATAAGCTTGCATTTATTATCATTAATATTCTTCTGCTTTTTCGAATTAATAATTGAACCTCCTTCACTGATTTAAACTTTGCTACTCTTAGAGTCATTTTCCAATGAATTTTCATCAGGAATATCTTTTTTGTTGTTTTAGTTGACATCATTATCTCCACTATTTAAAGGCTTTAAGATTTTATATCCCACTTAGCCTTCTATGCCTTGATTAATACCTCCTATATTTAAATTGTTATTTGTATTTTAAATGCTATTCGCTTCTACTTTAGAATTCACATTTATTTAGGATGCTCTATATTAATCGAACGATTAATTAAAATTTTCAGGTTAAACATTTATTGAAGGTAATTGTAGTTATTTTTGTGGATTTGGATGCTATTAACTGAGTAGAGGTAATTGCTAATTTTATGAAAGATTATTTGGTTCGTTCCATGAAGTTGGCCCTAGAGATGATATATTTTGAGTATTTTTCGAATTGTCTTGGATGATACTTGCTTGATCATGAACTAGCTATGTATTTGGTATCGCCTCTTCTAACTTTCTCTGAGTATTACTTGGATTAGGTGAGGGTGTTAATCTTATTACAGTAGGATTGTTTTAGTTGGGAATAGCATTCTCTATCTACTGAGTAGTTATGCTAGGGTGAATAATAAGTCTTTAAGTTGGTGGAGGTAGCCTTGGTGGAGTTTTTGTTCCTTTTATGCTTTGATTTCCTTAAATATTTTAATGTGCAAACTATAGTAAAATGTTTTAAAACAAGCAAATTTTACTGTAGATTAAATATGAGTGTTGTTTTGTTAATTGATATTTGAAATATTTATTGGATTAGGAAAGGTCTTTCCAAAAGTTGGCTAATGGATTTACTTCACAGAGGACGGAATGATCACTCTTGTTTCATCTCCTGAATCAATCATGATCTCATCTTCCAACCTTGCTTCTTTTACCTCTTCTTCAGAATCTTTCTAAGTGCTATCCTATTCGATTTCTATTGCTGATTCATACTTCTATATGCTCACATTGTGAATAAATGCGTCAACAAAGAAGTTATGTAAATGAACTTTCAAAATTAGGTGTTATAAATTTACTTATTTTTGCTCCCAGCAAGTTATTTATTTGAAAGTCGAATATAGTTTTAGGGATCCTACCTCTGAACCATCTAAAAATAAGTATTTAAGCTTTACTATAAATTGGTCATTTAGACTTACTTTGAGAGTAGCTTTTTATAGAAGATAAACACCTATGGATTAACACTTTTGCGGATTTCAAACAAGATTTACTTCAAGTCGTACATATACATATCTTGCTCATGGGAGTAATTATTGTTTGCATTACTGTTTGAATTTTACATGTGAACCACGCTTAAGTCTTTATTCATATATTACTCCTAGGCTTAGTCTTGATAGCTTTAGTTCATAAAATCCATTTTTAATATTTATTAGAATTCTTCGAATTCAGCTTAAATAATTAAAGCGGGGTTTTGGGGTTTTGGGGTTTTGGGG